ACTCCAACACCTAGATCATAGACTTAAGTCGGGCGTGTCGCCCTGCAGGGGGATTTTCGACGAAAAACAAAAAAAAAAAACGCTGGCCCAACGGGCCAGAAGCGTGCTAAGATCTCAGGTAACTACTTAACAATATTTCTAGTTCGCGCGCGCGGGGGGCGGCCCGTGGGGGGCCCCGGACGAGTTCGAAGTACCCTGGCTGACCCCCGGCCGGGTCCCGGCCGGGTCCCGGGCGATCCCCAGGGGGGGAGGCTATTTTTCGCCACCCCTCACGAGGATCGTGGCCTCCGAGGTGGGGGCTGCAATCGACTACCCCTACCCCAACCTGGTCTTTTCAAGATCTTGATCTTGCCCTCCAAGGAGAGCCAGACCGTATACGCGGCATCGACAAGACGGCGCCTCCTCATATCAGGGCGTCAAGCACAGTTGAACGTGTTCAATCAATGCGAAGCTCTTTTATGCTGGCCTTGGCAACAATGATGATGTTGCAACCAGAGCCGAAAGGCGACAAGACTCTGGTTTTGATTGCTTGGCTTTGCCGATGCTGGGAATTGTGGGATAGAAACCACATCCGAGAATGGGTCAAAGGCATGCTGGTGAGATGGGACGCGGCGGTGGCTGGACACCTTTGGTTGCGTGAAGCCCTTACGCCAGTCCTACCAGGTGAAGTTGCCCATGAACTGTCCCCGGCGCGGGGATCTACTGCCACTGATATCGAGCGACTGCATGATCAGTTAGTGCCCGCAGGCTGCACGGCTTCCCCCGGGGCCGTCGGCGACCCGAGGAGGAGGAGGAGGAGGCGGAGAAGGAGGAGGTGGAGGAGTGGGAGGGGGTGGAGAGATGGAGGAGGAGAAGGAGAGGAGAGGAGGAGGAGGAGATGAAGAAGGAAGAAGGAGAGGAGGAGGGAGAAGGGAGGAGGAGGAGAAGGGAGGAGGAGGAGGAGGAAGGAGCAGGGAGAAGGGAGGAGGAGGACGGGTCGCCTACGCCCTTCGGAGAAACCCTCCACCGCAGGCGCCTCGGGAGGCGGCGCAGAGGTGGCCTTCCACAGAGGGCGCCGCCCATGACCCGCATGCACACCGCGGTGAGAGAGTGCTGCGACAGGACGGAGCTTCCAGCGGCCCCGTCTGCGCGAGGACGCGACCGCTTCCCGCTGGACCACGGCCCTCGAGGGAGGAGCCTCGCACGCGCACCTTCTGCGCACGCAGTGCTGTCCACGCCCGGGGCGCCGCCACGGAGGCCCGGCGCGGATCCAGGACGTGCGCGCGGAGCTCGCCGAGAGCTTCATGCTCATGGAATACCGTCCGGGGATAGGGGGGAGGGGGAGGGGAAAGGTGGAGGGGGAGGAGGAGGAGGAGGAGGAGAGAGGAGGAGGAGGAGGAAGAGGAGGAGGAGGAGGAGGAGAGGAGGAGAGGAGGAGGAGAAGGAGGAGGAGGAGGAGGAGGAGGAGGAGAAGGGAGGAGGAAAAGGGAGAAGGATGAGGAGGAGGAGGAGGAGGACCAGTGTAAACCCAAGAGCAATCAACGATGTTTGAATACACCCTCCCTCCAAGCTCCCTCTTCAAGGGCCACAACGGTTCATTTCCATTTAGGGATCTGCCTCGTTGGAAGACAACCATTTGAAGACCCGGAAGCATGCCAAAACATGGTTCTCGGGATTCCAACGCCACGGATCAACCTGAATGTTGCGTCTTGACGATCCTGGATCGTGCCAGAACGCCATTCTTATATTTCTGCACCGCGAATAAACGTAACTGTTGCACCCGCAAAATCCTGAATCCTTCCACAACACCATTTCTGGTACGCTGATTGCTGAAACCCGTGAAACTCTTGCAATTGTTATAAACGACTGTGCGCGGCGCTAAGGCGAGAGCCACATTTTGAAAAGGAACCGCCTTCAATTCGTGAAACCCTTGCAATTTCTTACAAAGAATGTGCGCGGCGCTACGGCGAGAGGCACATTTTGAAAACGGGTGATCCTCAATCCGCGAAACTCTTGCAATTGTTTAGACCAAATGCGCCCGGCGCTAAGGCGAGAGCCACATTTTGAAAACCACACGCACTCCATATGTGAAACTGTTGCCAACTTGCAAGCTTCAGAGTCGTACATGGTGAAGGAGTCTCAGGCGAAACGCCCAGCCCGCCCTAAAAATTGCCCTCGGGGTGCGACAGGGAGAAGTTTTTCTTGGGGGGGAAGGAATGGAGGAGGAGGAGGAGGAGGAGGAGGAGAGGAAGGAGGAGGAGGGAGGAGAGATGCTCAGTCTGGGGACCTTCTGGGGGCCACTCGCTCCGCTCGTGCGTCCGGAGTTTCGTCGTGGCTGCGTCGAACTCGAGTCGAGCCTGAGACGAACCTGAGTCTTCCACCTCCTCCTCCTCCTCCTCCTCCACTCCTCCTCCTCCTACCCTTCTTTCCTTTCTCTCTCTCTCATCTCTCTCATCGCTCTCTACCTCCCTCTCGGCACTGAGGTCTTCCTGACGTGGCTATCTCTATCTATCTCCCTCCTCCCTCAAGTCCAGTTACGCCCCAGGGGGCTGATCAAAACTAAAATAGGCGGGAGGCGGCTGCGGATCTGAGGAGGATGCGGCGGCGGGAGGAGCCAGCAGAGGAGGAGGAGGAGCGGCGGGAGTGGGACGAGCCGCGACGAGGCGGCGACCTGCCCGTTGGAGCCCGCGCAGCGCTCGCGCGCGCGCCGCCCGCCCCTCCTCGCCGCCGCTCCCCCCTTGTGAGGGGCAACGATAGGGGGGGGAACGGCATGGGGGGGGGATGCATCGGCCTGGAATCGGCGATGCGTCGCCCATAGATCGGCGATGGGCCCCCGATGGTGAATCCGCACCTTCCTGGGCGGGATGGGGCTGTCGGGCCCCTATCGGCAATCAATGGGCGATTGAAGGTCGATGCATCCCCCCCGATGCCTATCCCCCCCTATCGTTGCCCCCGATCTTGGCGGCAGGGCGCGGGCCACTCACGGCCGCAAGAGCTCGCGCGCGAGCCTGCCCGGCGGAGGGGGAGCTCGGCCGCACCGCAGGGGTCCGCGGGGCGCCCATGGAACTCGCGCTGGGGGGGCCTCCTACGCCTCCTCCTCCTCCTCCTCCTCCTCCGCCTCCGCCTCCTCCTCCTCCTCATCCTTCTGCTCCTCCTCCTCCTCCTCCTCCACCTCCTCCTCGTTTTCTTCCTCCTCTTCTTCTTATTATTATTAGTATTATTATTGTTCTTATGATTCTTTTTATTAGTATTATGATTAGTCTAATTATTATTATTATTCGTATTCTTCCTCTGCTTATTATTATTCTTATTATTCTTATTATTCTTATTATTCTTAGTATTATTATTCTTAGTATTAACATTAGTATTCTTCTTCTTGATGTTATTTTTAACAGTATTATTATTGTTATTATTATTATTAATATTATTAATATTAACCTCATTATTATTATTTTGAATATAATTATTAGTAGTAGTATTAGTATTAGTACTCTCATTATTATTATTAATGATATTATTATTAATATTCGTATTAGTATTATTAGTTTTCGTCTTCTTAATGATAGTACTATTATTACTATTATTAGTATTATTCTGCTTGTTATTATGTTTATTCATATTAGTAGTAGTATTATTACTAATAATATTAGTATCGATAATAATAGTAGTAGTATTAATATTATTGTTACTAGTATTACAATTATTATTATTGTTATTATTGTTAATATTAATATTGATAGTAGTATTATTGTTGTTAATATTACTACTATTATTATTACTATTATTGTTATTATTGTTCTTATTATTATCACTATTATTACTATTATTATTACTATTAATAGCATGATCATTATTAATATTAATATTAATACTGTTATTAATATTAATATTATCATTAATATTATTATTATTTTTAATATTATTACTATTATTATTATTATTATTATTATTATTTTTCCTCCTCCTCCTCCTCCGGAAGCTCGATCTCTGAACGCTTTCGCACCACGACGGGGCTCCAGACCGATGCTCCTTCCCACCTCCTCCTCCTCCTCCTCACTCCTCCTCCTCCTCCTCCTCCTCCTCCTCCCTCCCTCCCTCCCTCCCTCCCTCCCTCCCTTCCTCCCTCCCTCCTTCTCTCCCTTTCTCCCTCCCTCCCTCCCTCCCTCCCTCCCTCACTCACCCCACTCCCTCCCTCCCTCCCTCCCGCCCGCCCTCCTTCCCTCCCTCCCCGCTGCTGCTGCTGCACTCGCTGCTGCTGCTGCTGCTGCTGCTGCTGCTGCTGCTGCTGCTACTGCTGCTGTTGCTGCTGCTGCTGCTGCTCCCCGGCGCGGTCCTGAGGGCCTCTGGGTGCTTCACGTGGTGTATGATGGGGACGTCGTGCCCACTCCACCAGAGCTCCCACAGCTTCGCGTGTTTGCTGTCGTTCTCGCCGGTCGGGTGGCGGGGGCGTACCGGGCCAGGGGAGGTGAGAGGCGGGGGGCAAGAAAAAAGGACGGAGCTGACAGGGAGACGAGAAGAGGGAGAGAGCAAGGAAGGAGGAGAGAGCATTAAAGTGGGGGGGGGGGGGGCGGCTCTGTACTGCTGCCATTGCTGCCACTGCCAGGCTGCTGCAACCGCTGCTGGTGCCACCGCGGCTGCTGCTGTTGCTGCTGCTGCTGCTGATGCTGCTGATGCTGCTGCTTGCGCTGCGACTGCCACTTCCGTCAGCTGCCAACTGCTGGTGCCAGCTGACGGGCTCTGCTGCTGTTGCGCCTGCTGGTGTTTGCTGATACTTGCTACTGCTAGTGCCACCGCTTGAATTGATATGTTGCTGGCACTGCTGATGCTAGTGCATGAGGATGCTGATGATATGTTTGCCAGCACTGCGGGCTACACATCTCCGACTGCTGATGCAGTACTGGTGATGCTGCTGCTGCTGACACTGAGATTGACTGTTCCTGCTGCTGGTTCTTCTCTTAATTATACTGGTGCTACCGTTGCTTTTGTACTTAGCGGAGAAAACCATCGCGCAAACACTAAAATTCTAGGTCGCTTGAGCAACGGGGCACACAACGGAAGAGGGCCGTGCCATGATAAACCAGAAACGCCAAATCTAGATGCCATCTTAGGGTCATCTTGGAGCTATGGCCTCTCTCAGGGACGCAGTGTAACTGCTTCAGCCGATCACAAAAGATTCACGAAATCTGAAAACAAATCATGCACGTGTAGCGGTGTATGTAAGGGTGTTGACAATATTATACGTAGGTCCGGTTGGCGCCCGCTTCTGGCCTCTTGGCAGGGCAGAGATGAAGAAAAGCATGGAAAACGACATAGACGGAACCAGGAGGAAGTGGTGCAGGGGAAGAGGTGGATGATGATGATGAGGAGGATGAGGAGGAGGAGGAAGAGGAGGAGGAGAGGAGGGATGAGCAGGGAAGGGCGCGAAGGAGAATGATGACGAGGAGCAGACTCCTCCTCGTCCTTCTCCTCCTCCTCCTCCTCCTTCTCCTCCTCCTCCTGGCTACCGAGAGGGCTCGCGCTTCGCCCCCCCCCCCCGTACCCACTGTTCACGTCGTGCCGCACGACCAAAAGGTAGACGACCTTTTGGCTCAAGCTGCGTTCCCCCGCTCTCTCTGCTGCCTTTTCGCCCAGTGGCCGGCGGCGCTCCGCCGGTGGCCCCTGGGCGGCGGCGCCGAAGAGGGCCGGAGCGGCATGGCTGCGGGAGGCGCCCTGGCAAGGCCGCCTGCGGGGGGGGCCCGCTGCGGGGCGCCGCGGCAGCGCGCGCTGCCGCTGACAACCGGAAGCTGGGCGAGGGCTGGCAAATCCGCGGCTGCTAAAACGGTCTTCCCGGAAGAAAGAAAAGAAACAATGCCCGGAAGATAACTCAACGCACAAAACAATGAACAGGCCCCTTCCCTGAGGAAAACAAGCATTTCCCGGAGCTCCGTCCTAGCAGCCACGGGTTTGCCGGCCTTCGCCTGGCTTCTGAGACAACCTAGTCAAGCGTCTGTCGAAGGAGCTCGAAGAGAAGCGGGAGGAGTGCCAGTTCCTGCAGGACGCGTTCGCGTCGGCCTTCGCGGACGGGGGCATTGACGACAGGATCCTGGCGCCGGTCCCCGCGCTGTGCGACCTGGTCAACGGCCGCAGGCCCTCGGGTCTGCGGCGACTGCGGAGGAACGTGGCGCTCCACGCGGCGGCAGAAGGCATCGACAGCATCGCCACGGCTGGTGGGCCGTCCTCGAGGCGTGCGGCCAGAGGGGCCAGGCTGGACAGCCTGGCGGCGCTCGGGGAGCCTCCCGTGGAGTGCATCGTCGAGGGGCGCTGCGCCGAGGCGCCTGTGCTGTCCGCGGCTAGGCCGACGGCCTGGTGCCTCGCCGCCCCAGCGTTCGTGCCCGGTGCTCCTGCCCGCGGCGTCGTGTGGCAGTCCGCCGACGAGCAAGTGGACGCGCTGCTGCAGGCGCTGGCTGCGACCGCTCCCGTGGGCGGGGCCCACCCCCCGACACGGATGAAGAGGCCCCGGGGCACACAAATAAATACGCACAGATAAGAAGATTCCCCATGTTTTCCTATATTTTCTGGGCTTCTGTCTTCCCCCCCACTTCCCATAGTCTCCCATATCTTCTGGGGAATCGACAATTCACTGTGTCTGTGTGTTTCTTTCCCTCCTGAACGGAGTATGCGGAGGAGGCGCGCCCGCTGGCCCGCAGCCCGCTGCGCTGCCGGCGCGGCAGGAGCAGCCACCCGGTGCCGCCTGCCGAGCCACCGAGCGTGGGCGGGTCCGCTCGCGCCGACGGCGGGGTGAGGGCCAAGTTTCCTCACGGAGACTAGGGAGCCCACAAAGGACGTACGCGCCCAGCTATGTACACGAACACGGCCCCTTGACCCGCGAGACCGGCCGCGTGATACGAGTATTCGCGCAATGCGAAATCTCGGAAACAGCGTGGATTCATGTACGTGTAAGTCCTTCTTTCGCTCCTGAGAGACGGTGCTCACAAAGGATCGGCAATCTACGGGGTCGTCGACGGCTTCGCAGATCCTCTCGTCTTCGACGGCTGCGGCCGCGGGTGCACCGCTGAGCTCGAGGGCGGGACCTGGGGGGCAGGTGGACGACACGCTGCTGCTTTTGCTGTACGGGTATGTTGCTGCCGAGCTGGAAGGCGAGGGGGGGGAACGGTCGGTCGGTCGGTCGGAATAGCGGACGGGGGCCACGGGGCGAAGAGGCGCGGGGGGGAGCAGGAGGACGGGGAGATACAGTCGGGCAGGGGGGGGGGCACGGTCGGTCGGTCGGAATAAGCAGACGGGGCCCAACGGGCGGAGGGGGGGGAAACCCAGGGCCGGTCGGTCGGTCTGAATAAGCCGACGACGGGGTCCACAGGGCGGAAGGGGGGTGCACGGTCGGTCGGTCGGTCGGTTGGAATAAGCAGGCGGGTGCCACGGAGCGGAGGGGGGGGGGGGCACGGTCGGCCGGTCGGTCAGAATTTGCAGACGGGGGCCACGGGGCGGAGAGGGGTAACGGTCGGTCGGTCCCGCCGAATAAGGAGAGATCGGGGGCCACAGGCGGAAGGGCGGCGGAGGGGAAGCAAGGGACGGGAGGGACACGGTCGGCAGGGGGGGCACTGTCGGTCGTCGATCTGGTTATGAGCAAACGGGCCACGGGCGGAAAAAAACAAACGGAAACGAAAAAAGAACCATAAGAAGAGTAAAAAGAAAGAGAAAAAAGAAGAATAGACGAAACAAAAAAAAACAGAAAGGAAAAGGAAAAGGGGGGGGAAAAGAAAAAAAGAAGAAAAAAGAAAAAAAAAGAAAAAAACGAAATGAAAAAAGAAAGAAACGAAATGATAAAAAAAAGACGGAAAAAAAAAAAAAAAAAAAAGAGAAAAAGCGGGGGGGCGGTCGGTCGGTCGGTCGGAACAAGCAGACGTGGGCCACGGGGCGGAGGGGTGCGGGGGGGGCAGGCGGGGGCGGCACGCACCCACACCACACGAAGCCAACACACATCCCAGCACGTATTCCAGCACACGGAGGCAGCACACAGCCCTGCACACATCCCAGCACACGAAGGCAGCACACGTCCCAGCACACATCCCAGCACACATCCCAATCCAGCGCACATCCCAGGCACGGTCGGTCGGTCGGACGAAATAATGCAGTGCGAGATCACAGCGGTAGGTATGATAAAAACTTTCCCCTGTCGCACCCCGAGGCCAGTTTTTAGAGCGGTCCAGGCGTTTCGCCTGAGACTTCCTCACCATGTATGACGCTGAAACTCAAATATTACCAACAGTTTCACAGATGGAGGGTCGCTGGTTTTCAACGTGTCGCTCTCGCCTTAGCGCCGCGCGCATTCGCTTTAAACATTTGCAAGAGTTTCACGGATTGAGGGCGGGTGGTTTTCAAAATGTGGCTGTCGCCTTAGCGCCGCGCACATTCGTTTTAACAATGTGCAAGAGTTTCACGTGTTCCCATGATCAACGTACCAGACATGGTGTTTTGGAAGGATTCACAGTGTAGAAGTTCCAATGATGGCGTTATGGCGCTGTTCCAGATCGTCAAGAAGCAGCAGTCAGGTTGATCCGTTGCGTTGACAAACCCGAAGACCGTATTTTGGCGTGCTTCAGGGTCTTCAAGGGTGTCTTCCAACGAGGCAGTTCCCTCAATGGAAATGAACCGTTGTAGGGGCCTATGACGAGAGAGCTTGGAGGGAGGGTTAATTCCAGCATCGTTGATGACTCTTTGGTTTACACTGGTCCTCCTCCTTCTCCTCCTCCTTCCTCCTCCTCCTCCTGCTCCCTCCTCCTCCTCCTCCTGCTCCCTCCTCCTCCCCCTCCTCGTCCTCCTATCCTCCTCCTCCTCCTCTTCCTCCTCCTCCTCCTCCTCCTCCTCCTCCTCCTCCTCCTCCTCCTCCTCCTCCTCCCCCTCCTCCCCCTCTCCTCTCCTCCCCTCTTGGACAGCTCTTGGGCCGTCTCCCGAGCATCTTGGACCGTCTGACGACCATCCTGGGCCGCTTCGGGGCCACCGCGCCGAGGAGCCGCCCCAGGGCGGCCAAGGGAATGCCACGCCAGGCAGGCACCACCGAGGGGGGAGGAGGCGGCCAACGCCATGGCTGGCGTCGTGAGCCTGTGAACGCTGGCGCGAAAGGGAGGCGGAGGGGTGGGGCGGGGGCGGCTCGGTCACGGCAGCGGCCTGGTAGAAGAGCCTGGCCTCCTCGCCGCTGCGCATGTACTGGGTCCTCGCCATCTGCTCGATGGCAAGCTTCTCACCCTGCGGCGATCGTGCTCTCGTGTCTCGTTGTCCTGCTCCTCCTCCTCCTCCTCCTCCTCCTCCTCCTGCCCATCTTCCTGCTCATCATCATCATCATCATCATCATCATCATCATCATCAGCATCATCATCATCATCATCATCATCATCATCATCATCATCATCATCATCATCATCATCATCATCACCACCATCATCATCATCGTCCATCGTCATCGTCACATCATCATCATCTCATCATCATCATCATCATCATCATCATCATCACCACAGCAGCAGCATCAGCATCAGCATCATCATCATCATCATCATCATCATCATCATCAACAACATCATCATATTCATCGTCATCGTCATCATCATCCTCGTCATCATCAGCAGCATCAGCATCAGCATCAGCATCATCATCATCATCTTCAGCATCATCATCATCATCATCATAATCGGCAGCAACGGCATCATCATCATCACCAGCATTATCAGCATCATCATGAGCATCATCATCATCAGAATCACCATCATCATCATCATCACCATCATCATCGTCATCGTCATCATCATCATCATCATCATCATCATCCTCATCATCATAAGCAGCAGCATCATTATAACCAGCATCATCATCATAATCAGCGATAGCATCAGCATCGGCATCAGCATCAGCATCAGCATCAGCAGCATCATCATAATCATCAGCATGATGATGCTGATGCCGATGCTGATGCTATCGCTGATTATGATGCTTCAGAAGCCCCCCCACACACACTTTCGGCACGGGGGCCCGGGCTGGCCCCGGGCCCCGAGATAGGGAGAGGGGGGGCACGCCGCTTGCCCCCCCCCCTGCTCAGCGAGGGCCCCCCCAGCTACAAAAAGTGCCAACGAAACGGGGGGAAGGGGGGTAGAGTCGGAAGCCCCCCCCCTCCCTTTTCCAAAGGAGGGGCGGGGCGGGGCAGCTCGAAGCCTGAGCCCCGCTGTCGGTGAGGAGTGTTCCACGGGCGCGCTCGTTCAGAGCCTGCACGAGCAGGCCACCACGCCTCTTGAGCAGCCACGCGCCATAGTGATATCCATCAGCTGCACACACTACGAGCAGAGTGCCCACCTCTTGCCACAATGGTCGCGCACCCGATTGCCGACGACTGTGCCGACCACCGACGCCAGCTGCAGTCGACCAACAGTGCCGCGGCCCCTTCACGAACATCTAGCTGCGCATACACTGCAACCCTTGTTCCGAACAAGCCCTACTCGCGATCGCTTTCTTCAAAAAGACCGTCGCCAAAATGGCCATCACCAACATCAACGAGTTGATCGAGGCCCAGAAAGGTGCCCACCAGGCGACGCCGCTGGGCAGCCTGGGGCCCACGTCGGGGACGACAATCGGGGACCACCCAACCGGGGATCTGCGACGGACAACCACCACACACACACACACACACACGAACAGCCGACTATCATAATGACACACAGTAACACTCCCACTGAATCCACGCACCCAAGCTCATCACCCGCAGCACCCGCTCCGCAAGAGCAGGAAGTACTGCGCATCGCCAACACCATCAGCATAATTAGCAGAAAGAAATAAAAAAAAACAAAGAAAGCACAATAGCAAGAAGACCAGCATAGATAGACACAAAACCAAAAACCAAAAATCAGCAGGCTTGGCCGCCTCACCGCGGAACTCTTCCAATTCTCGCCGCAACGCCTGATCGCGGAAACGTACCCATGGTCGGCAACCGCCACCAACATCCCGCAGCAGGTGCCGCCACCAACCTGCAGGATGATCGCCGACACCAGCACCCCAACACAAACCAACGACATCGACGGCACAAGCTACATACTGCGAACAGCGGACGACGTGGTTTACCACGGGGAACTGGAGCTGGACAACGTCAAGATCCAGGCTACAGACGAGATCAACACCATGAACGTAGCCATCCCGCTCGAACCAGAACCAGCATTGCAGCCGTGGCCATCATTCGCAGTTGCATCACAGCTCGACGAGTCGACCAGGCTGGTGAATCAGGAGGCCCCTCCCAGATCACCCACAACCACGAGGCACAAGCCTCGCGATGGGACCAGCCGAACGGCGACCCATCAGTGCGTCATCCACCTACATGTTCGACCAACTTTGATCCATTAGACCGAAACTTGGCGCCACCAGCGGCCAGCTGTCACTTCCCATATCCACTTCTCGGAACTATTATTTTACGAAGCGGCCGCATTCACTGGACATCCAGCAGCTGCAAAAGTTGGTCCGAACCGACCACTTACCTTCTCTCATTTCAAACCCACCACGTTCTGACGACGATACACTCCTATCTACACGCATCCTCGTGACCAACACACAGCACAACACAACCGCGAGCACGACCACAACACGCTATGCTACGCAGTGGGTCCACGGCAACACAGGGATCCAAACCCCGCTGCGGCACTTTCACCCACGAATGCTACTTCACCGACGTGCCGCGACAGTGCGAACTACACCAGACCAGTGGGTATCGCTCTCTCGTGCGCCCCTTCGGTGGAGGCCTCAATCACCAGTTGCGAGCTGGGGCCTTGGGGGTATGAACGCGAAAAACCTTTTTCCCACTGGTTTTGAGGCCGTCGACCAACCTCCACCCTTTTCTGGCCCACTTTCTTGTAGCACCCGCTCCCCCCACCTGTCACCTCGAACCTACTCCTCCCCCCTCGTGCGGAGGCGGAGCGGGTGGGAGGATACGCTGGGGGACGGGGAAGCACAGATGCTAGCCGGCCACCTGGCAAGGGCCAAGTATGCCGAGCCCAACACTCCCACGCGGCCGCCCACTTCACACTCTGCCGCACGTGCTTATCACCTCCACCCGCACCCTTCCGTCTGAACCTCAGCAGGGACCGACCGCCCCAGCATTCCTGTGGGCCTACTGCGAATTTTTCCGATCGGAAAATGCGATGAGAACGAAAACACTTGTTTAAACCTAAACCAGATGTCCTCAAACAGAAACGATATCGGATAGGAGTGTTTCAGTAATACCCTATGCAAACCGCAATATGTTCTTAGAACAGTATCTGGTCGGCCTAGAGGCAAGCCGGGACGGCTCGACACTGGTTAAACCTCCCCACACGCGGTCTCCCATGCCATGCCTGAACCCTGGAAGCACCCTGCGACCTCTGGGGACCGTCGGGGTCATCGTCGTCCTGCTCGTCGTCGTCGACACGTCTCCTCTTAATCTTGCTGCGCGTGGGATCCGGACAGTCGGCTCGGATGTTCGCGGAGAACCTTCTGGGACCTCGACGTAGATGTTCCCGTCGTCCTCGCCGCTCGCAGGGGTGGGGTACGGGGTACCAGACACGGGGTGGGAGGCACCGCGCCACTGGCTCCTGCACGCAGGCAGGGCGCCTCTCGCCACCTCCAGCCACCGCGTGCGCTGGCACCAGTTTCACCAGTCGCCGCCTCGAATTGTGGATCACCTGAGCGACGCAAAAAAACGGGGCCGCCTGCGCCGACATTGGCGCGTAAGCTGCCCGCGCAAAGTCGCGCGAAAGCGCCCCCGTCTCCAACGCAGCGAGCCGCGCTGGTGGCCTGCGCAAGCCACCGCAGTGCGGCCTGCACCGCGTAAGGTCGCTGTGTCATCTCGCGCAGGACCCGTTTCTGATCGTCGCCCACGCCGTCTTAGCATGCCGCGCACTTGTTTCACACGGGACACTGCAGCCGCGCAGACGGCCCGATCAGCAGCACCTCGGCATACCGTCCTTCTGCCCTGCCACCTGCCTACGCAGCTACGTTGTAGCACTCCCCCCACTGCGCCCGTGACAACCTGTGCCCTAACTTCGGTGCGCCAGTCCAACAGCCGTACGCGCCCCCAGGGGCGCCTGCCTGCAACAAACAGATCGGGTCGGGCATCGGCATTATCATGGGTGGGGGTGAACGAAGCAGCCATACGCCAAAAGCGCGTGGGAAAGGAAAACTAGAGCGACATGCCAAATGCGCGCGAGAGCACATGAAAACCGTGCCACCGCCACGGACAGCACAAAGCTCCCCCTCGCCCGGTGGAAACACCCCAGGCGGCCGCCAGCCGCACGGTCCGGGTGCCCTGCGCCTGCTTGGCAGGCGAGGGCACCAGCCGCAGGGCCGGTGGACGCTTGTGGGGGGCTCCTGTGGGCAGGGGGAGTGGCCTGCGTTGGTGGATGCCATGACAATGGGCACCCTAAAAGTCGTATCATTGAACTGCATGTGTTTAAAATGTCGGAAAATGTTCTCCGAATGTTTGACAGCATGCATTTTACAGGTTTCAGATATCATTGAACCATGCTTCAGCTGGAAACTACTTGGCAACATACCTCCTCTCCGTTGATCGTCGTCCACAAAATTCAATCGGGCCTGTCCCCCTGCAGGCCGATGTTCGACGAAAAATAAAAAATACTCGAGAAGTATCCCAAAAGTGGTCGACAAATACTCAAAAAATACTCCCAAGAATATCTCTCTTGACTATTTTTGAACTTTCCTCCTGTGGAGAGAGACGGGCCCGACTCAACACCAGCCATTATGTGCCCTCCACTTTGATGAATGCGGCAGCGCCCACGCATGCTCACCGGCCGCCGCCACCGCCCCGGCGCAACCAAACGACCGCCGGTCCGCGGCCAGGCCACCGCCGCGGCAGGCCCACGCCTCTTCCACGCGCGGTGGAGCCCCCCGGGCGGCCCCTACAGTCGGACTCTGTTGGAGAGGACACGCGAGAGGACACGAGACCCTTCCGAGGGCCACGCTGCCACAGAAACGCAGGAGGCACGGGTGACAAGACACAGGACGCGAGGGTGCCCTTGATCTGGCAGGGTCGACCTACTAATCCAGGCCGCCGGTAGGTCAACGCACCACCGGGAACCGTTCGCCGGCTGGCAGGCGAGGGATCCCGTCGTCGACCCGGGGGAGGCCTGTGGGGGCTCCTAGGGGCAGCGGGAGAGGCCCTTGAGCCTTCCACCTTGGCGCGGGTGGACCGCGGTCACCGTCTAACCCCCATTCCCTCCCTCGGCGCGTAAGTCTCCTTCCTTCCCTCTCTCTCTCTCTCTTTCTCGCTCTCCCCCCTCTCCTGTCTGGTGTCGCAGCTTGCCTTTCTCCTCCCATCTTTACGATTATCTCCCACCAGCCGGCGACTCTCAGGGGCGCGCAAACATGCATCAGTGATCCATGGATTTGGCGCGCGGTCGCCAAATCCATGGATCGGGGAAGTGCCCTCCCCAGAATGCGGCTGGTGCCGCCTCGCTCGGCGGCGGAAACCCGGGATTTCCCATGGAAACGGGACCCGTCGCTAATCCACGCCCCCTCGATCCATGTTCGCGATCGCCTGAGACTCCTGGAGCGAAGGCTCCACAGGAGCCGCCTGGCTCCTAGTTTGATCACTCCCCCAGGGGCCGACAGGCGGGGGGGGGAAGAGCGGCGTCCGACGGACCCTTTTGCGCCTTCAGATGCCTTCGGGCACTCAGGCGCTCAGAAGGAGGAGGAGGAGGAGGAGGAGGAGGGTGAGGAGGAAGAGGAGGAGGAGGGGGAGGAGGGGGAGGAGGGGGAGGAGGAGGAGGAGGAGGGTGAGGAGGAGGAGGAGGAGGAGGAGGAGGAGTAGGGGAGGAAGGAGGAGGAGGAGGAGGAGGGAGGAGGAAGAGGACGGAGGAGGAGGAACGAGGACGAGGAGGAGGAGAGACTAGGAGGAGGATGGACGAGGACGAGGAGGAGGAGGCGGACCAGTGTAAAACCAAGAGTCATCAACGATGTTGGTGTAAACCCTTCCTCCAATCTCCCTCTTCATAGACCCTACAACGGTTCAATCCCATTGAGGGAACTGCGTCGTTGGAAGACAATCGTTTGAAGATCCTGAAGCTTGCCAAAACATTGTTCTCGGGATTCCAACGCCACGGATCAAGCTGACAGTTGCGTTTTGGCAATCCTGAATCTTGCCAGAACGCCGTTCTTGGGACTTCAGCGGGATCCGTGAAACCCTTCCAAATTGTCTAAACGAATGTGCGCGCCGCTAAGGCGGGAGCCACATTTTGAAAAGGAACCGCCCTCAATCCGTGAAACGATTGCAAATGTTTAAAACATTCGCGCGGCGCTCAAGCGAGAGCCAAATTTTGAAAATGGGTCCCCCCAAGTCCGTGAAATTCTTGCAAAGTTGTGAAACGAATGTACGCGGCGCTGAAGCGAGAGCCAAATTTTGAAAACGGGTCGCAACAAGTCCGTGAAACCCTTGCAGAGTTGTAAAACGAATGTGAGCGGCGCTGCAGCGAGAGCCACATTTTGAAAACGGGTGGCCCTAAGTCCGTGAATATCTTGCAACTTTGTAGTCGAATGCACGCGGCGCTAAGGCGAGAACCACATTTTGAAAACGGGTCGCCGTGCAACTCTTGCAAAGTTGGGAAAACGAATGTGCGCGGCGCTAAGGCGAGAGCCACATTTTGAAAACCACCCGCCCTCCATCTGTGAAGCTGTTGCCAACATTTTAGCTTCAGGGTCGCGAAACGCCCGGCCCACCCTAAAAACTGGCCTAGGGGTGCAACAGGGAGAAGTTGTGTAGAAGGAAAGGAATGGAGGAGGAGGAGGAGGAGGAGGAGGAGGAGGAGGAGGAGGAGGAGGAGGAGGAGGAGGAGGAGGAGGAGGAGGAGGGGGGGGGAGGACGACGAGGACGAGGACGAGGACGAGGACGAGGAGGAGTACGAGGAGAGGGACAAGAAGGAGGAGGAGGAGGAGGAGGACGAGGAGGACGAGGACGAGAACGAGAAACACGAGGAGGAGAAGGACAAGGAGGACGAGAAAGACGAAGACGAGGACGAGGAGGAGGACGAGGACGAGGACGAGGACGAGGACGAGGAGGAGGAGGACGATGACGAGTCCTACAGTCGGCCCGTATCACAAGGATGCGCGGATCCGATGAATCAACGCGGGGCGCCAAGACTTTATGCTTTTTTTTTTTTGAGGGAGACAACGCACGCGCCAGCTTGCTGTCCATCTCGCATATCGTGCCGGGGAGTCCGGGGGCCACGCCACCCTCAGTCGCAAACGGCACAACAAGACGTGATGAGGGTAAGGTCCGCTTCCCCTCAAGGGGGCTATCACCGCACCCATCGAAAGCCGCAGCGAATGGCGTTGAAACTCCATAGCTGTAGATATCGAAGGTGGCCGGCCGGGTAAACGTCACCACATTCAGGGAGCAGGAGGAGGAGGAGGACGAGGAGGAGGAGAGGGAGGAGCGAGGGGGGAGAGGCAGAGGAGCAATCCAAGACACCTGGAGCAACGCTCAAGCCAACCTGCGATAGGTGAGCCTTTGCGCGCAACAGGGAATCGGGGCACTGGCAAAACTGCATAGTTGTACAACTATCTGAGTCCGAGCTCCGTGAATGACCACGACAACTTAAAAACCGGACGAGAATTCGAGGAGAGGAGGACGAGAAAAGGCGCAGGGGCAGAGGGGGGGAGGAGGAGGAAGAGGGACAGCAATGTGCAACACAGCGTGCGGGTGAAGTGCCACTAATCCCAAGCACTCCCCAAGCTTTCGAAAGCGGCCCAACCGCAAATGAAAATGGCCACGTGGTAGGCGAGAAAAAAAGGAAAAAAGAAAAAAAAAAAAGAAGAAGAAAAAAAAAAAAGATAAAAAAAAAAAAAAAAAAAAAAAAAAATAAAATAAACAAAAAAAAAAAGAAAAAGGTAAACAAACGAAATGAAGAAAACAATAGCAAGGAAAAGAGAAAATGAATAGAGAAAGTGAGTTGGCGAAGGCGGCCGGAAGGCTGGACAGTACGGGCTAGGGGCGACTCCCTGACTAGGGAGCGGCCGGCGAGACCGGGCGGCCCAGCACCAGCCCCCTCCGCGTGCAATCGGCGCGAACGCCAATTCGGGGGTGAGCGAGGAAGAGACCGGGAGAGGAGGTGGAGAGCCGGCCCACCCCAGCAGGGTTAGCCGGCGCTCCGCCCCCGGGAGCGAGAGCGGGAGGAAGGCATGGTCAGCGAAGGCCTGTCGGTCCCAGGCCAGTTGGCGAGGGCGACCGCTGGCCGCCCCTCCCCTCGTCCTCGTCCTCCCTCCTCCGGATCTGGGCGTGTAAGTTCGTGCTGGTGTGCCGGAGAATGCACGGTCAGACGAGGCCTGACGGTCCCAGGCCAGTTGGCGAGGTCGACCGCTGGCCGCCCCTCTCCTCGTCCTCGCCCTCCCTCCTCCGAATCTGGGCGGGTAAGTTTGTGCTGCTGTGCCGGGGAATGCACGGTCAGACGAGGCCTGACGGTCGAGGCCTTTGCTGGGTTTTTGCGTTTAGGGGGCCCCGTGCACGGCAGGAGCGAACTGGCTACATTTTGTCTTCCAGTCGAGTGCCGGCTGATGTCTCTGCCGCGTGGCCGATAAGCGTCGTTATTTGGGCCGGCGCGGAGCGGAAAAAGGGGCTCAAAGTTGTACCGCACCTCCTGGTGCCTCCTCATTCTCTCGCTTCTTTCCTCCCTCCTCTTCTCCTTCGCCTCCCCTCCCCCTCTCGGCCGCTGCACACTTCGACGCGATGTGGTGCAAGCTATCGTGTCCCCTCTGTCCCGGCCGCGCGGCCGATGGACGCTGACACACGGTGCCCCGAGCAGCCGATTCGAGGCGCCAAGACTTTATGCTTATGGCGTTTCTTCTTCTTCTTCGAGACAAGAATGCAAGGGCCTTGGAAGGCCATGTCGAAGTCTCTCGAGCGGGGCGCGGCCGGCGAAAGCGGCCGAGGAGGGGCCGAAGGGGCAAGGGTGCAGAGGGGGCACCCTTCGGAAAGTCGCTCCTCCTTACCATGCGGGTCAGCTGTAATCACTACAGTCGACCCAAGGACCAGCATGGCTGTCGCCTCAGAGGGGCAGGTAACAACCATGCGCCGGGGCATCGGGAAGAGCATCTCACACCGCAAGCACAACCGCAAGTGAAAACGGCACCGACCAACAAAAAGAACTGCAAACATGACGAAATGTACCATAGTTTCGCTCGGGGTCCTGTTGAGCCCGGCTGAAACGTGGCGAGCTCCCGTCCCCAGGAGGGGAGGTCCTCCTCCTCCTCCTCCTCCTCCTCCTCCTCCTCCTCCTCCTCCTCCTCCTCCTCCTCCTCCTCCTCCTCCTCCTCCCCCCCGTCCCCCAGGAGGCGAGGTGCACTGCGTGGGAGGCTGTGGCGGAGCGGCGCCGCCTACGGGGGAGCACGGCGCCGCAGCCCCCAGGGCCGCTGCGCTTCCGCCCGGGGGCACGCCCCCCGACCGTGACTACCTACCAGACCACCCCAACCCAACCCGAAGACCCGAATTTCGGGTTGGGGGGGGTAAGGGTTCCACATGCGTTTTTTCGATGTTTCCCGACCCCCCCCCACTGGAAATCGAGGGTAAATTTGGGCCTTCGGGTTGGGTTGGGGTGGTTTGGTGGGTGGTGAGACCGGGCCTCGGCGAAAACGGAGAGGTCCGAGCAGCCTCCCAAACCTCCCCCCCCCAACGATAACGATCACAACGATCACAACGATCACAACGATCACAATAATGATGACGATAACGGTAACGATAACGGTAACGGTCGCAACGAGAAACGATTCACAACCATCACAACGATAAGGATCAGTGCCTGTCTCCTGCTTCACCCGGTGGAGAGAACGCGACACGGGATGAAAGAAAGGGTCGCCGAGGACTTTGCCGACCCTCCGCGCGCACGGCCTTGGCGCTCCTGCCCCAGTACGGGTTCTTCTCCATCTCCCAGCACGCCATCGGCAACCTCGAGGAGGCGGGCGTGGACGGGGGCGGGCCGACCGGCCACCGCCACGGGAGGGGGGCGGTGCTCCCGGCCCCCCCTTGGGGGCAGCCGATCGCGTCGGCGCTCCGTCGAAGGGTGCCAGGGGGCCGAAGGGTCCCCCCGTTGGGGCAGGGAGCACGGCAGCCGTGGGCGTCGGCTGGCTCGAAGGCGGGGGCGGGCGGGGGGGCACGGCAGGGGGGGGGGGGGGGGGGGGGAGGCCGCGGGGTAGGGGGGACGCGGCGGAAGGAGGAGAGGGGGAGAGAGGGAGGGGAGGGAGAGAGGGAGGGAGGGGGAGGAAGGGGGAGAGAGGGAGGGAGGGAGGGAGAGGGGGAGAGAGGGGGGGAGGGCAAGCTAGGTGCGCTCGCGTCATATCTGACGTCCTACCCCTCCCTCCGATCCCTTACCATGGCGTTGATTTTCTCTGTCCGCGGACGCGTGTCGTAGCGGACCTGTGGCTCCGCGCGCGCGTGCGTAGTGGGTGGTGGTGCGCGTGCGTGCGTGCGTGCGTGTGTGCGTGTGTGGTGGTGGTTGTGGTGGTGGTGGTGGTGGTGGTGGTGGTGGTGGTGGTGGTGGTGGTGGTGGTGGTGGTGGTGGTGGTGGTGGTGGTGGTGTGGTGGTGCTGGTGGGTGGTGCTGGTGCTGGTGGTGGTGGTGCTGGTGCTGGTACTGGTGCTGGTGCTGGTGCTGGTGCTGGTGGTGGTGGTGGTGGTGGTGGTGGTGGTGGTGGTGGTGGTGGTGGTGGTGGTGGTGCGGCGCGGTGGTGGCGGGCGGATGGGCGCGCGAGAAAAAGGCCCGCGCTGGGGCGAGAACGCCATCCTGAACGACGGAGGCCAAACACCGATCCGAAAATGAGGCCCACGCTGCAGCGGGAGCACGATTCGGAACGATTCGGGAGCAGAAATGAGGCCGGCGCCTCAACGAGAGCAGCATTTTGGGAAAAAATGACGCCGGCGCCTCAGCGAGAGTCGTTTCCCGGGATTTCCCGGGCATCCTGTGTGTAAAAAACAGTACGCGGAGGGTGCGCGGCCATCACCCGGACGCCATCAGGGGAAGGATTCGGGAGCAGAAATGAGGCCGGCGCCTCAACGAGAGCAGCATTTTGGGAAAAAATGACGCCGGCGCCTCAGCGAGAGTCGTTTCCCGGGATTTCCCGGGCATCCTGTGTGTAAAAAAAAGGTACGCGGAGGTTGCGCGGCCATCACCCGGACGCCATCAGGGGAAGAGGGAGAGTATATTCATATTGAGTAATTGTAGAAGGGGGGAGAAAGGGGGGGGGAATGGACTGACTGGTTTTCAAAATGTGGCTCCGGCCTCAGCGCTGCGCACATTCCTCTCAGCAATTGTCAGCAGTTTCAAACATGGAGAGCGGTTCCGTTTCAAAATGCGGCGATCGCCTTGGCACCGCGCACAATCCCCTCAAAAGTTCGCAGCAGTTTCGCGGACTCGTGTGGTTGAAGTCTCAGGAATGCAACTTTCAGAGCAAAGCAGGCACGTTGACTCGCGGCAATGAAGTCCAAGAATGCGCTTTGGTACGAGTGAGGATTCTCAAGCAATTAACCTCTATTGGGGCACAAGGGGCCTATGACGTGGGACCTTACGGGGAGAATGTATCTAATCGCTTCGATCAGTCTACCAGTCAGTAATTTTGCATCGCTGGATTTTGCCCGCGCGCTCGTTGTCCATGTTGCGCTGCTGGGCGGTGGTCGTTCCTGTGTAATTGTTTCTGGGGGACTTGCTTGGGGGCCGTCATGGTATATGTTGGTGTGTTCGCGGTGAGAAGGTCTTGCAAGGGCCTAGGACGAGGGAACTTGGAGGGAGAGCGCATTGCAACATCGTTGATGCGTCTTCTGTTTACACTGGCCATCCTCCTCCTCCTCCTCCTCCTTATCCCCTCCCCTCCCCCGTCTTCTTCCCACTCTGAGCCACCCCCCTCTTGCCCCCGAGCCCCTTCGATCCATCGCAATGACATTAACACCCTCTTGTCGAGATCCGAATGTTGAAACAAATCTTCTAATGTTGAGCCTCCTCATCCTCCTCATCCTCCTCATCATCCTCATCCTCCTCCTCCAGCTCCTGCTCCTCCTCCTCATCATCATCATAACCACCACCACCATCATCATCATCAGCATCACCATAACCACCACCATCACCATCACCACCACCACCACCACCATCATCATGATCATCATCACCATCACCATCACCATCACCATCATCATCATCACCATCACCATCACCATCACCATCACCATCACCATCACCATCATCATCATCATCATCATCATCATCATCAGCATCACCATAACCATCACCATCACCACCACCACCACCACCATCATCATCATCATCATCATCATCATCGTCATCATCATCACCATCATCACCACCATCAGCACCACCATCAGCAGCAGCATTGGCACCATCACCACCGCCGTCGTCACCAGCAGCAGCGTCGTCGTCGTCATCGTCGCCCTCAACAGCATCGCCGTGCTCTCCGCACCTCTCGCGCCGACGAGGGCCCCCCCCCATCCAACCCGAGCTGAGGTCTGCGCGAAGCGCGGATACCTTTGCGCCCCCTCGGTGACCCAGGAGGAGGAGGAGGAGGAGGAGGAGGAGGAGGAGGAGGAGGAGGAGGAGGAGGAGGGAGAGGAGGAGGAGGAGGAGGAGGAGGAGGAGGAGGAGGAGGAGGAGGAGGAGGAGGAGGAGGAGGAGGAGGGAGAGGAGGAGGAGGAGGAGGAGGAGGAGGAGGAGGAGGAGGAGGGCGACAGCAGGTGCGACCTCCGCCCCAGCAAAAGCTGCATGATTCGGCGCGTCTTGAGCTCGGTCTTCGCACTCTCCCTGCGTCGGCAGTGTATACAGTCGACCCGTACAACAAGGGCGTACGAGAAGGAGGCCAGGGCCGTGGGGAAGGCCATGTCGAGACTTTCGCGAGCGGGGCGCGGCCAGCGAAAGCGGGCAAGGATGGGCCGAAGGGAAAGGGTGCAAGCGGCACAATGGAAAGTCGCTCATCCTTACTATGCAGGTTGACTGTATATTTGGAAGCAAGCACGTCCAAAGGCCCAGAAGGGGCCAGAAACACCTAAAAACTTCGACCTTCGATCCAGAAGCCCCTCCGCGATCCCTGGAGGCCCTCAAAGGCCCAGGAGGGCCAGAAATGCCCCTCTTAGAGAACTCGAAACCATCGATCCCAAGACAACCCCATTGGCAGCTCGATCCTCGAGGATCGATGCTCGATCCGAAAAACCTCGATCCTCGATCCTGGACCCCCTGGCCTGGCGCGCGGAGAGCGCCAAGGGGGACCAGACTGTTATGTTCATGGGTTACGTATTACATTGGCTCTTCCTGCGGACTCTGACCTACCATGGCGATCCCCACACCGCATTGCCCCCAACTGCCGCGAAGCTTGGGCGAGAGAGGAGAACGAGGAGGAGGAGGAGGAGGAGAAGGAGGAGGAAGAGGGGGAGAACGAGGAGGAGGAGGAGGCGGAGGAGGAGGAGGAGGAGCAGGAGGGGGGGGAGGGAGGAGGCGGAGGACGAGGAGGATGTTCAGACGTGTCGCCCGGGGCACAAGGTGCCCCTGTTGGTCAGGGTGCCAGACCCCGCTGGCTGCCCGCAGCCCGCCCTGCCGTAGAAGGGCACCTGCGCTGCGCGCGCGGCGGGAGGGGGGGGGGGGGCTCTGTGCTCGTCGCCCTGGGGGGGGAGAGAGGGAGGCTCTGCCTGCTCCTCCTCCTCCTCCTCCCCTCCTCCTCCTCCTGCCTCCTCCTCCTCCTCCTCCTCCTCCTCCTCCTCTCCTCCTCCTCCTCCGGCCTCCGCCTCTCCCTCCGCCTCCGCCTCCGCCTCCGCCTTCCGCCTCCGCCGCCGCCGCCGCCGCCGCCGCCGCCGCCGCCTCCTCCTCCTCCTCCTCCTCCTCCTCCTCCTCCTCCTCCTCCTCCTCCTCCTCTTCCTCCGTCGAGAGGGGGGGAGAGGAAGAGGAGGCGGCGGCGGCGGATCTGCATATGTCCATGCCTTCAGCTCCCCAGCAACAACTGGACGCAGGGCGCATGACGAGCACTATGCCCAGATCGGTGATAAACTGAACGGAGTTCCCCTCCCATCGATCGACTGGGAACACCTCGATCGAAGCGCAGGGTCAAGAAACCCATGCTCGTTTAAAGTCGTACGAGCGCTGGCTCTCCTCAACAGTGGGGGGCGAAAATGCGTACACGATAGGAGGAGGAGGAGGACGGAGGGAGGGCTGGAGAGAGGAAGGAGGAGGAAGGGGGGATGGATGCAGGGAGAAGAGGCAGGGAGAAGAGGAGGGCGGAGGGCTCCTACTCGGAGGAAGGGGGGGAGGTGGATATTTGTCGTCGGCTCGTCGATTCCGGCATCAGGCGCCCTCAACTTGACCTCGCGCGACCCCAACGAGGGGTATTCATTCAGCGATACGCAATGCAGTACAGAGAATCATATGCTAAGCAATGCATAGCACAAGCTAACACATCATGGCCTAGCATAGCAGTTCATTCAACATCATGTGCAGTTGAAAGCATACGGTTGATAGAATTGTGCAGCGCAGAACGGCATTGCATCGTCAACGTTACATAGAATTACACTGCACGGCATCGTAGCGGCAAGAGTCGAAATAATAGCAGCCGTATGACTCGTAGTCGCTACCATGGTAAGAACGGTAGTAGCGATAGTTGTCGTGGTAGATGTACTTGTGGTAGTAATAGTAGTGGTAGTGGTGGTGGTAGTGGTAGTGGAAGTGGTAGTAGTAGTGGAAGTGGTAGTGGTAGTGGTAGTGGTAGTGGTAGTGGTAGTGGTAGTGGTAGTGGTAGTGGTAGTGGTAGTGGTAGTGGTAGTGGTAGTGGTAGTGGTAGTGGTAGTGGTAGTGGTAGTGGTAGTGGTAGTGGTAGTGGTAGTGGTAGTGGTAGTAGTAGTGGTAGTGAGTAGTGGTAGTGGTAGTGGTAGTGGTAGTGGTAGTGGTAGTGGTAGTGGTAGTGGTAATGGTAGTGGTAGTGGTAGTGGTAGTGGTAGTGGGAGTGGGAGTGGGAGTGGGAGTGGGAGTGGTAGTGGGAGTGATAATGATAGTGGTAGTGGGTGGTGGTAGTACTAGTGGCAATGGTTATCCGTCGCGCGATGCGCAAACGGTCACGCCAAAACGGACGAGCCGCTTAAGCCCCCCCCAGCACCCGCAGGCACCGACCCCAAGACGCCTGCCCATACGGCCTCTCGGCGGGGACGGCGCGCGAGCGCAGGACAATGTGCCACGCGAAGCGTGAGGTATCACACCGCACGTCGGAAAACACATCACCAGTGATATTAACCAACTTGGACCCCAAACAGCTTGTTTCTAGCGATAAATGTGGAACAGTCTACGTGGAGCAGCACATGCATGCAATGAATAATGTACAATCGACGTAGCACGATTTATATGTATGTATACACAGACATACCTATACATACACACAAACATACATGCATACATACATACATACATACGTACGTACGTATATACATACATACATACATACATGCAAGCCTGCATACATACACACACGTACACAAATACATGCATACATACATACATACATACATACATACATACATGCATACATAGATGCATACATACATACATACATGCATGCATGCATGCATGCATGCATGCATACATACATACATACATACATACATACATACATACATGTGCATATATGTACATACATATATATATATGAGGTAAAACAAATGTGGCGCAATCTAAGTGGTGCAACACAATTTATGCGTTATATATATATATATGTTTACGAACATAAATACATACATACATACATACATACATACATAGGCGGGCGCAGATGTCTATGTACATACACGGACAGACACAAACATATTGAATGCATGTGCATGTTTGTAGGAATACTTACAAACATACTTATGTACACACGTAACTGCATATACACCTGTATATCCCACAAGCACATATACACATATATGTCATGCAACCGGGTGGTACAAACTACGTGGTGCATGTGCAGTTAAAGTTGATGCATGATGTGTGGTGCGATCT